GGGTTGGCGGCTAGGAGGGGCGCATTCAGGAACCTGGCCTTGGGGCAGCAGAGAGAGTAAGCCCGGCACTGGGTGTAGGAGGAAATGTATAGCGGCGTGGGTAATAGAAGCAACAGAGAAGTAAGGGAAAGGAGCCAGACAGCTAGCAGTTTTATCAACTACAAACTGCACTCTCCTCTCACTATGTGTTTTTTTTTCTTAATATCAAATAAAACAGAGCTGGTTGCAGACATGGCAACTCGGTAAAACGTGGGTAACGGTGATCACAGGGTGATCACGTTCACAGTAGGTTACAAAAAGGAAAGGCAGATTAGTTTGACAAGAACACTAAACTTTAAAGAGGCTAACTTCAACAAGCTGTGATCCTTAATACATGATATCAAATGGGAGGAACTATGTATAACAAAGAACACGGAGGCTAAGTGGACTTGCTTTAATATTGGTTTAATATGAGAAATGTAAGGTTATGCATTTTGGAGTTAAAAATACACAAGCAAGCTATTCATTGATGGGCATCCCACTGGGGAAATCAGAGGTGGGAAAATATTTGGCAGTCCTAGTGGACAGTCGCCTTAGTAACACCATGCAATGCCAGGCTGCAGCAAATAAGGCGACCAGTGTTCTATCATGTATAAATAAAAGGAATGTACTGTAAAGACAAATCCATAATTCTGCCTTTTGTACAAAACACTGGTTCGGCCACATTTCTGGTTTGCGGTTTAGTTTTGGTCCCCGATCTACAGAAAGGATGTCCTTGAGCTGGAGAGAGTCCAGAGAAGGGCAACAAAACTAATCAAGGGGTTAGAAGTCCTAAACTATGAGGAAAGGCTGCATGCATTAAACTTGTTCACTCTTGAAAAGAGGAGACTGAGAAGGGACATATTATTGTACAAATTGTTTAGTAGTGATGGGACAATCGGTAATAAACTTTACTGTCAGTTCAGTCAAGAATACAAGAGGCCACCATTTGGAACTGCAAGAGAAAAGGTTTAATCTTAAACGGCGAAGGGGATTCTTTACTGTAAGAGCTGTAAAATTGTGGAACTCCCTTCCACAGACCAGTGGTGTCAACTGAGAGTATGGAATCATTCCAGAACCATCTAGATACTATTCTCAGTGAGCAAGACATACAGCGGTACAGGTAATCTTATTTACCACACACACCCCAAAGGTTGAACTCGATGGACCTGTGTAATGACAAACTCCACTCTCCTCTCACTAGGGCTGCAACTAATGATTCTTTTCATAATCAATTAGTTGGCCTATTATTCGATTTTATTCAAATAAAAAAACCTTAAATACCATCCTTTAATTTAAAATAGACTACACAAATGCAGTGTTATAAACTTTTACTTCAGAATATAACCCCATGCACAATTTTCTGCAATCGCACTGCACTGGAACACAGGGCGTTGTTGTACCGTGCCTTCCAGTGCAGGCGATCATACGGTGTCATTGAAATTAATGGCACTGCAACGCACCTCCCGCAGCAGAATTTGTCAGGCTGAAACCCCACCATTCCACAGATTCCATAGACAGCAGCTGAATGTAAATACAGCAGGTAGTGGGCTGGTGCAGTTTGAAATGGCCAATAGCAGACTGGCTATTGCACCCACCCACTGCTTGCTGTGCCTTCCTTCCAACGTGGAGGAGAGAGCTAGGGGTTCCAACCAGCTAATCGATAATGAAAATTTAGTTGGTTGCAGCCCTACCTCTCACTATGTTTTTTTTTTCTTAAAGCTGAACTCTGGGGTAAAAACACATTTTTGACAGTTGCAATGTAAATATAAATGACCTTTTTATGAGGTGTCTCCCATTTCTGGATGCTGCAGTGTTGGATAAAACATTAACATTCATTTAACCCCGTAATATAATTTAAGCGCTGAACTTCCGGTTGCAGCTCTAGCCGACTAATGATAGCATGTCGCTCACTCTCTACCTTGTCCATTCATAAAACGAGTTGTATTCTTTTTCCAGCATGCAACACCTTCTGTGATTGGACATGACGAGGGGAGTGTTGAATGAACATTTAGTCTTTGTGACACACAACACTTAACCAATTGCAGAACACATTGATGAATTTATTAAAACTTGAGTAGACAAAATCTGGAGCGGTTGCCCAGGGCAACCAATCAGCGTCTCTCTTCAGTTTGTTCAGTTAAGATTTGAAAATGAAATGGAGAAGCTGATTGGTTGCCATGTACAGCTGCTCCAGATTTTGTCTGCTCCAGTTTGGGTAAATTCCCCTCAACCTGTTTTATGAATGGACACGGTAGAGAGTGTGCTAGAGCCACGACTGTAACTTTCAGTGCCAAAAGTTTGGTGTTTACATTATTGTACGGGGTTAATGTAAGTAAAAGTTTTAACTAATGCAGCAGCATCCAGACATGGGGCACCTGTCATTAGAGGTAATTTTTAGTTCTATGTTGTAACTGTCAAAAATGTGTGTTTCGGTTTTGTTTCTTTTCTCCCGGAGTTCACTTTTAAGTGGCTGAGGTTTCATTGATACTAGGTTATATAAGGAGTATGCATTTGATTTTTTTTTATTTTAAGAAGCCCTGACTGAATAGTCAGATGTACTTTTAATTTAAGAGAAGAAAAATACACTGATTGCTTTTTGCCAAGTGCTGATAAGGCAGCAAAATCTCTTTATAAAATGAGCATGGTTAAAATATGTAGACTTCATATATAAATTTTTATCCTCCCTTTCATTCTGTATTTTCTTTGATAGACTGAGTAACATCCTGGTTGTTTTTTCTTTTCATGTATGCTAAATATAATTATGCCATTACAAGTTTGCTCCTTGCCACCCACTGCTGCAGCTGAGGAATTATCTTTATTTTTTACTCTTGGGGTGAGGTAGAGGCACACGAATGTTATCTTTGGAGTCTCACATTTTGCAGTTGGGGTACACAATAATTGCAGATTATTTTCATAGTAAACATCTTGCATTTCTAATAGATTATTTTGGTTGCCGAATTTTAGTTAAGCCGAACATATTTCTTGGTATGCAGCTGCTAAAATTATACACGGTGAGCTTTTTTAAATTGTATTTTATAAAGGTACTCTTGATCATCTTATTTTATTTTAAAGCAACTTTTGTACTTTATAGACTTTTTAGTCTACCCTTTATCCTCCTTGATAGCAGGATATCAATCCGTGCAGAGTTCAGGTTTTCATACTATTACCCTGGAAAGAACCCTTTCAAACTCTGACGTGGGGGGTGCACACCTGATTTTTTTTTAACTACAAACAATAGCATTTTTGTTAATTTAGTTAGAAGAACATCTGCTAAACTGTTTTCAGCTATGGCAATCTGGCTTATTCTGGCAAATTGCACATTTTGGACTGTGCATTCCCTACTGCATCCATTTGCTTACTACCCTACAGTTCGGAACACACTAAATGAGGAGGTTATATCAGAAAATCATCCTTGGCAGACCTGTGTGGGTGATTTTTATTGTAACAGT